CCCAATCCTCGAAGCAGTTCTCATATGCACTTTTTGGTATGTCCTTGAGCTCTCACAGCAATTCGGTTTTTATTTCCTCAATCGTCGCAAAAAGCCGTACTTTCATGGGTCTCTTCAATCTTGGGAACAGGAAAAAATCGCAGGGGAGCAAGTCTGGTGAATATGCTGGCTTAGATACGATTACGGTGTTGTTTTTGGTCAGAAAATTACGAACAAGCAATGACGGCAGAAGTCATGAACTGTTTTTCAACAATACCGGAAGTTTTAAGCGTATTGCTTCTCGCAAGTGACATATAACTACAAGATAATACTCCTTATTGACCGTACGATCATGTGGCAAGAACTCCTGATGCACTACGCCACGTTAGTCGAAGGAAACAGCAGAAACTTGATATTTGATCGAACTTGGCGTGCTCTTTTTGGTCTTGGCTTTCCTGGGCGCTTCCATTGGGATAATTGGACTTTGGTTTCCATATCATAACTATATAGCTATGATTCGTCACCACTTATGACCTTTTTGAACAAATCTACATAGCCATTGACGCCATTCAACAATTCTTGTGCGATGTTCATGCGACGGTTTGTTTTTTGGTCAAAATATAGCAATTTTGGAACGAACTTTGCTTCCACAGGCAATATGCTCATAACTTCCTAAAAAATTGTATGGCATGAGCCAACCGATATGCCGACATCCTCAGCAACTTCTTTAATAGTGATTCGATGATTCTCCATAATAATTTTCTTCACTTTTCCTACATTTTCTTTGGTTGCTGGGGCGTCCAGGGCGAGCGTCGTATTTCACATCTTCTCGAACTTCTATGAAATGCTTGTACCACTCAGAGTACCATTACCGTATGCCACTATCAACATTTCAAGTGTTTTCGAGTACTCAATATCATTTTCACACAAAATTTCATGCAAATTGATCCATTTTTTCGACTGCAGAAAATCGACGAACATTCAAAACACCTAACCTAACCTAACCTAACCTAACCAAACCTAACCTAACCTAACCTAACCTAACCTTACCTCACCTACCCTAACCGAACCTAACTGTTATACCGCTTACCAACAAACTGAGCATGCTAAACAGCTGAATCTGGAAACGAATGTTCGAGACGATTGAACCAACAAAAAAAAATAAAAAAATCGCTAATCAAATGACCTTTTATTTGTGAACAGTTCACTCTGAAAATGGGCTACTTGGTATATTTTATTTCCAAATTTCTAATTCTATATTACACCTGCTGTTAATTCAACCGTGATTCACCTAATTTTTGATCAGACTAACAAATTTTCATTCTCATTCATCATGGAGCAAATACTTTATCCAAATAATGCGTCTCACTATTTGCTACTATTTAATGAACTAAAGCATAATACAAAGGGGAAAACGAGAACTGCCAAATGCTCATCTGAGGCCACGTGCCCCGATCCTTTAGTGAATCTTCGATCAAGTGGAAGTTTGCACACCACAAGCCAACTACTAACTATATAACACGAAACGAACTGCATCTGCCTGGACGGGGCCCCACAGAGAGGGTGAATGGCTTTTATGGCCGCTATACTACATTAGTTTCGTACAATGATGACACTTGCCGTTTCCTATGCGAACACCTAAGATTGTCAGTTATTGTTGTGTTTTAAAGAATAACATGACATTTTCTGTGATCTTCGACTCTTTTCTGAAATGTCTGTTGAAATGTAGAAAGTCCATTAATTGAATCCTTATTAGAAAACTTTAAATCAATTCAGTATTAGTTATAACGTGACTTGGAACATGAGTTTGTAATCGATGAAATCTTGATTCAACTCAAAAATAAAAATGTCTTCAAAATTTTCAACTACATGTTGCAGAGAGGGCAATGCGTGAAAATCGATAACGTCGCCAGTGAAAAAATAATTGTGAAATATGGAGTACTGCAAGAAACAGTTTTGGGGCCAGTTCTCTTTACAATATATATCAATGCCATATTACGACACGATACTTGTAGCAGCACCGTTTGCTTGGCTGATGATACAGCAGTGCTAATAGATGGAATGACCTCAAAACCAAATTAGAAGATGACATGAGTAATCTCTTTCAATGCTTTGCGGATAAAATCCTATCGATTAATCACGAGAAAACATTATTTTTATCATTCTCGTGCTATGCCAACTGACTACCCCATTATGATATATTGAATATCGGAAACAATATAACAATTTGATCAGCAGAAGAAATCAAGTATTCAGGAATAGACACCTAAAATGGAACTATCATGTTGACCAAGTGACTATGAAACATTGAGGAGCACACTTTATAGATTCAAGTACTTACGAAATATAGTAGATACTTCGCGAATGAAAATAATGTATATATTATACAATTATTATAGTCTCGTCTTGCATATGGAATAGTAGGCTGGAGCGAAGTAGCAACATCACATTTGAAAAAATTAGATGTATTACAGAAAAAATTTATAAAAATCCTCCTTGGAAAACCAACACAATACTCATCAAAGAATTAAAATTGCTCGACCTCAGACAAACTTTACTTTCTAGGAACAGAATTGAAGTATGTATCACTAAACTTATTTATACCATGAAATTAAGAACACTGTTGAAATTACCTACTGAAATGGGAACTTGTGAAGTGGGATATTTATTTGTCAAATATATGTATAAGATTTTTTCCATCATCAATATTGTGAAATCATAGCGAATAATGGCACATTTTACAATCTAACATTTGTTGCAATTTTTATACTTTTCAGATGTTTGCATTTTCATTTTTATATTTACCATTTTTATATTTTTTACATTTTCATTTTTACCTTTTTACATTCCTACATAATTATATTTTAACATTGCTAACATTTAAAATTTCCACATCTTTACATTTTCATAACCTGATGTGTCAACCTGATTTATAATGTGAATATTGTGAATACAACAGTAATACCTATGCACAGGGTGTCCTTTGTGGGTTTCCTGAATTTGTTCAGATTGTTCAAATTGATATTGACTGATCCTTGTACGGTGCCTCACATGTTGGTACGCCTTATTGAATACCATAGACTACAGCCATTTCGTGTGGAGTTATTTTTTTCTCGATGTTATGTTTATGTTTCATTATTCTCTGTAAGCTGTCTTGAGTAGATCAAAAAAGCCACATCTGAAGGTTGTGAGCGAGTGACGGATGGAGGGATGGTCAACATAGCTGTTGAATCCTTTTTTGTTATCTCATATGCTTGGAACGATATGACAAGGGATAAAAGCAGTTCATCTTTCTATTCTATTCTATTCTATTCTATTCTATTCTATTCTATTCTATTCTATTCTATTCTATTCTATTCTATTCTATTCTATTCTATTCTATATGAATCAGTAGAATTTCCAAACGACAGAAAAGTTCAGAAAACTGACTTCTGACAACTTTTGTTCAGAAAAACCAGTGCATTTCATGAAATAATTGACCTGTATAGGACGAGGTTTTCAACATTTGTTTGAAGGTGATTGACAATGTTTCATGATTAATTTCACTAGTTCGGACTTCCATTGTCTAATATATAAAATGATTTGAAATCCCTGAAACAACTAAAAAAAGGAGAATTAAAAGTGAATAGCTGAAAATATACATGATTATATTGAGCCAAAAAATAACCTCAAATGAAATAATGATGAAATAAAATACAAGTAAGTATATAACGATTGAACAAAAAATAAAAAGAAAGAAATAAAAATAAAAATGAAATGTTAAGAGATTCCAAGTCACGTTAGTTCACGACGTTTCGATTGTTAGTATCTACAATCGTCTTCGGGTGATGACTGGACTGATTACTCCGAGAGATGACTGAACTAGACGCCTTCCTGAAACACATCAACAGCATGAGACCTTCCATCACTTTCACAATGGAGAAGGAAATCCACAACTAATTGCCATTCTTAGACGTTTTGGTGAAGAGGACCAACACTAAGTGGGAAACATCTGCATACCGAAAACCCACTCATACGGGACAGTATCTGAACCACGAAACCAACCACCATCAATCGACTAAAAGAGGAATCATCAAGACTGTATTAGACCGTGCTTTCGGGGTCTGTAATACGAAGGACGAAGGAACTAGGCATCATCAAAAATGATCTTCAACGGAATGGCTACTCCAAAGAGATGGTAAGAAAAGACTTTGGCTAAAAGACAGCAGGAGCCTCGCAAGGAAGAGAAGCCGTCACAACCAGTGCTTGCACTTCTCTACATCACAGCGAGGGGAAACCAGTAAATCAGGAATAGCAGACCATGTTTGCACCCATCAACATAACATCGAGTGGCCCCAAGCTGAGATCATACACAGAGAGCAACATTGGTTCAGGAGAAAATCCAAGGAAGCCGCATACATGTTGTCCAACAACGTATTCAGCCAAGTTAGCGTAGATATACGCAACATATGGAAACCCATTATCAAGCGAAAAATGGCCAATCCCCGCCAAACGGTCATCTCCCACTGAACCAGTGAAGCGGAAAAAATAGAAAGCGGGGATAACTGAAAGTACTCGAACTACCTATAAATAGTCATCTCTCAGAGGAATCAGTCCAGTCATCACCCGAAGACGATTGTAGATACTAACAATCGAAAAGTCGTGAACTAACGTGACTTGGAATCTCTTAACATTTCATTTTTATTTTTATTTCTTTCTTTTTATTTTTTGTTCAATCGTTATATACTTACTTGTATTTTATTTCATCATTATTTCATTTGAGGTTATTTTTTGGCTTAATATAATTGTTATTTTCAGCTATTCATTTTTAATTCTTCTTTTTTTAGTTGTTTCAGGGATTTCAAATAATTTTATATATTAGACAATGGAAGTCTGAACCAGTGAAATTCACGAGGTTTTCAATAAACAAACAGTTGAGTTTCATTGGAAGCAGAAGGAAGCAATATTTTATAGACTCCCTGTATGTCATCTGAGATGTCATGTAGTCGGAAATAGTTATGGCATACCAAGATCACTTGCAAATATTTCAATCACAGAAATTTGACATGGCTGATATGACAGTTGTAAAATTATTTGAATTACTTCAAATGTATTCTAAATTGAACATATCATAAACAATCCAAATTTTTTGCTCATCCGGACAGCAATGATTCCTGGAAGTATATCTCTGGCAGTTTGTACTGTAGTCTTAAGAAGGGTAGTAGACACCATAACTGGTCAAATAGTGAGTACGTTGATTTTTTTGTATCTTTTAGATTGTCATTAGATTGTTTCCAGCCTGTCCTCCCAGTCAGTCAAATTCCACATCCATCCACTCTTCTTGTTTTTTCTGGAGCTCTATGTTACTTGTACAATCACCTGAGGAAAGGAACGCTGGTTAAAATTGGCAGAGGGCATCTTCCAAAAAGTTGGGTGAATTCATCTAGGAATTCTATACAGTACGTACACAGTGAATGAAAATACTTGTGTTGTTTTGAAGTGGTTCATTTTATTTTTTAGACACCGTCCGAAAAATAAATCTTGGTTCCTCAGGAACGCATGGGGTCGCCGAAAAAACTGTACGGACGCCGTCTACAGAGTTGCGAAGCAACTCTCCGAATCCATTACCAACATGAACCCATGTCTCCTCCTTCCTAAAGATACTTTCCAAGTTAGTTTTCCTAAAGGACAGCTCAAGGGATCATCATCATCCAGAGAAATTTCTGAGATAGATATTACCAATCAAAATTCCTGTGATTTGATTTATAGCAATGAAGCATTTGCAACAGAATCAAATGGCGAAGTTAAAAACGACGATAAAAAAAATGTGTCGAATTCAAGCGGAGATACAAAACCATTCAATAAAAGAGGGAAAAAATACCTGAGGGGCCTGAAGGGTGTGAAAAGACTTGTACGTGAGCCAAAATTAGGAGATATTTTCTCGAAATCTCTTTCAACGACGTTTGGGGAGGGAAAGAAAATAACACGGAGTGGAAAGGTCTACAGTCCTTTTCCCTGAAATACTTGAAAAATATTTTATTTTGGTTATTCTCAAAGAACAAAATAATATTCTACTTCAGTAAAAAACCAAGCTTAGCTTTTTATTTCACACTTTATCGGTTTCGAGACGTAATTTGTTAAAGTGAAAAAAAAGTTAGTATCAAAAACTCATTTCCATACAGTGTGCCTTTTAAGCTACGATCTACGCTGTAGAACATTTTGTTATTAAAAAAGGGTGTGATTATTACTGATATGGTTGTTGGTTGTCACAAACCAGCTACAGGAATGAGCTTCAAGAATCAAAATTAGTTTTATCACTGAAGGAGTATCTTCTCCAAGAGAGACGCAACGGCAAGAGGTGCTTCATCAAAGGGAGTAATTTAGTTATAGAGGATAAGGTATTCTCACTACAAGAATTACAAGAAGCGGAGCAAGAAACAGAGAGAAAGTGTAATAGCACGCCAGCCACCCCAACTCAGCCATTGCTATTACACTTGGAAGATAAAATTCAAATACCAAAAAACTTCAAAGACACATAATATAATGTATAATGCACGTTATTATTTTTTGAATTTTTTTACAACAGTACCTATTATGAAATGAAAAATATCACCCTTCTGATCGTTCACCTTCTAGGTTTACAATTTGGTCATTTTATAGCCCTAACATTATTTTAAAAAAAAGTGTCTGTATGTATTTGTGTCTATATGTGTTAAGTTTTCTTTTTCAGGCGAAACAAGTGCTTCTGCACTTATTGCCATTTTACTTTATTCAACATAGCTATTATTTGTTTGTATGATTATAATTATTCTTTTTTATGAATAAAGTCATTATTATATTATTATTCATCAGGAAACCATTATGCTGAGGTTATTTCAGAATGAATGCAAGTGGTTGATGTAATTCAGAGTCGGCGAAGGGGGGGAGGCAAAAGCAACTCTTAATATCCATTTTAGGAAAATAGTGCTGATTTCATTTAACAAGAGATGAAAGTAAGACCTTAAAACCGCAAATTTTGAACATAAATCACTAATTGATTCAAATTGGCTTGCCACAATCAACACTATTACTTAAATTTCTCATGAAACAGTAAAAACCTAGAAAATGTTACCTTGAACATTCGTTACAACAAACTGGGAGCCTACAAGGCAGACTTGGAAATTTTGACGGGGTTTGAAATGAATGTTTGTAGATTTAGAGTAGGTAGCACACTTATTAGATGAAGTTTTACACTGAATATCCTTTCATAATTAGTCAGAGATCAAACAGAAATATTCCTGTTGGAATGGAGATCTGGCATAGATGAGACAAAAACTAGAAAAGCTCCCGTGGGTTGGGCTACCTATCGGGCGCGTTTCCAGGTGCCGAATAGGGAAACGGCCAGGGGACTGGAGGCCCTGTCCGGGAAGCCAATGTGGCCTTACGGACCGGGTCGCCGGATTCTTGGTCACTGGCAGAAATAAGTAGGGTGAGGGGAACTAAAACTTCCCAAAAGCCTTTGTAAAACATGCCACCGTGTACCAGCCTATCCAAGCTAAGGTGTAAGGAATCGTGCCGACAGCTGAATGGCCGCAGGGTGATATGCGGTCACGAACGATCCCCTTGGGGAACTGGGCGAAACCTCATTGTAATCAGCCTACCTCTGGTAATGCGGTGCTCTGCCAGAGGTGACCAACTCTTCCCTTGCTACTCGTGGGAACACACATGAATGAAACAACAGGAAAAACAAAAACGAAAACCAATCCCGAGGCTGAACAGAAGTGCTCACCTCAATCTAAGGCCGTGGCTGGGAAAGAACAGAAATGTCCACTCCAATCTACCGCTTGGAATGCCGCAGCAGATCATCTCCAACAGCAAGGGCACTTCCTGCGGCGGGCGCCTTGAATAAAGGCAAGGAACCGGCTGCCCCTGCAGGAAAGCTCCATCACTTGTGCACCTCCTCGGAGGGAACCCCAAGAAGGTTCAAGAAGCCGCGCAGTAACAGTAACGTCGCTGCACCTTCCAAAAAAACCTGCACCTTCCAAACGCTGCACCTTCCAAAACCTTCGCGGAGGCCACCGTGAGATACCTCAAAGTTGCCAAAGAGAGTGTGTGTTTGGCGAGTCTTGGCCTATACCTGCCAATATAAAGGAGATGTCTCCTAGTGACCTGTTCACCTTCCTGGAAGGGACAGGATGGACGACGACCTTGGAGGACAACTCCTAGGGAGGATGTACAATGGGTCACATGTGGCCTAAGTGCTGTGAGTCTTCACTTACCTTCCCTACTCTACAGATACCAGAGGAGAACTAGAAAAACTTTCGAAGTGCAAGAAAATTAGATATGAGGGACCTGGCTTCCTAACTAAATATAACATAGTCGCGAATAAATTTGAGAAAGACTTATTGAGAAGCCAAAAACTTAAGTATATACTAGAAACTAAAAAAAAATTGAGGTCTCAATAAATAATCGTAAAGTATTAATTGAAAGGGGTATATTTTCAGGAGAGATACATTTTTTGGGAAAGATTTTGGCTTTTTACTTCTCCATTTTGTTGTAAAAAATGTGAGAATCTTCCAAAGAAAGAATGCAATAAATTTAAAAAAAGTAATTCACACATTATTTTTGTATCAAGATGGAGAATTAAAAAGCTAAAATCTTTCTATACCAAATCTTAAAGTAATACCTCGGAGTACAAACACACTGTAGAAGAGACTGTAGCTCAGCTCTCTCTGTGAATTTTCCAGCCTCCAGATCTAACAATAGTATCATACAAATTCAGAATAAAGCTGAGCGTCCAGGGAGCATTGGTTGGTGGAACATGAAACGGCAGATTTGAAAAGGCCTTAATGAATGTCAGACTTATTTCAACTATACAAAGTAACTAGATAGTATTTGAATAAGAAAGTATATGGACAAAACGGCTTTTTGACCAGACGGCATATCCAGTAATGTGGCAAGAAGCACCAAAACTTCCATTAAAAAACTACGTATATTCTTCAGGCAAGTTCGGCTTTGATATGCATGTCTAAAACATGGATACTTATTCCGAGACCTGAGAAAATCATTGAAAGCGGCATATCACGTACCACTGGCTACTGAATGGAGAATACTATGTGTATAGGTTAGGTTATATCGGAGTATGTCGGATCATGGAAAAACAGAATATAATTACAAGAACAAAAAAATATTTTTAGCTGCTTTCATGAGTATTGAGGGCACATTCGGTGATATTACTTCAAAATCGGCCATTCAGGTATCGACGAGATCAGAGATAACCGAGACAAACCGCAGAAAGATTGATAAAGCAGTAGCACGGTAGCAATGGGTTGTTCTTAGAAGGAATTCCTGTCCCCAGTATTATAGAACTTTGTAATGGATGGGTAACTACGTTCTTCAGACTTGGATTCAAAATACTGGGCCATGAAGACGACTAAGTCACTACAGTCCACTACAAATATAAATACAATAATACAGTGAGAAGATGCATTAAAAAGGCCCCGAATATATAGCTGAGGAAGAAGAGTTGACCAAATCGAACATTTACCAAGATAAATGAACTAAGATTAACAACATTTTGTTCCGGAATACTAGTGTGTGATAAGGTATGGCTAATCAACAGTTTGTACCAATTCATGAGAAACACTCTGGCTTACCAAAAGTAATCAATTTTTCAGGAAAACACCTACTAGAAGTTAAGATTAGTAGTAGCTACAAAGTAGTTAATTTTGAGGCATAATTTGTTCTGAAATATCAAATTTCACGTAACAATGTCGCATGTCATTGCTGTTTTGTGAGTGACATCAAATGTCAGTAATACAAAATGAATAAGATGTCTATGAATTAATGTTGGTCATCTCAGAAATTCTTTTATACCATGAATTGTTGGTCATCTCAGAAATTCTTTTAAACTAACTGTAGCAGTTTTGATGTTACCGCAAGGTGGTGCAATAGTCATTATTTCAATTTTTTATTGAGTAATTTATCCTTTTTTATCGATGATAATTTGACTAGTGATAAATATTTGGATATGTTGGATAATCTAATGATACCGTGCTTCAATAGGGTATTTAAGGAGGATATAAATTTATTTGAAAACGAAATCGTTTTTCAGCAGGATGGTGCACCTCCTCATTATGCAGGTCCAGTGTGACAATTTTTGGATGATCATTTTCCTGGTCGCTGGATTGGCAGAAGGGGTCCTACAGAATGGCCACCAAGGTCTCCGGACCTCACTCCTGCAAATTTCTTTCTATGGGGTCATTTGTAGTCTAAAGCGTATGAGATAGAATCAACAACATTAGAAGATATGAGAGAGAATATCATGAGGCATTGCAGAGAAATAACTTCCGAGATTCTCAACCATGTGAGGGCGGTAAAGGAAGCTCGTCTGTACCATTATATGGAAGTTGTTGGAAACGTTTTGAACACTTACTATAAACTTTTTTTCACATTGTCGAGTCATCAGATTTTGTTGTCTCTAGAACGACTATTTCAGAATGTGGCCTCATGTATAATTGTTGACCTGTTTTCTTATTTTTCCTGAAAATCATCGGTCCAAAAGTTATTCACGGTGGCTCGTTTTTAATGAAATGCACTGTATATATAGGTATTTTGTGAACCTCGTAGTATTAACGTCGCTCATTTTCAGAGATAACTTTCCAGTGAGCATAAACTTTTATCCGAAGGCAACCTGGAGCTGTGTGTAAGTAAGAAGTGAAAAGTAAACACAGTGATAGATGTTTATTATAGAGATGGGTGGGTGCGGAACGGCCATAGTTAGGCAGGTCCCGAGGGAATACAGGATGAATCTTAGAGGAGGAGCTGCTGCCGGCCGACTTCTTGGACAAATTGCCAGAGCGGAGATCGGGGACCTGGATAAAATGTCTTCATTCTTTCCACCACGGTCGCTGAGGCGGAAGTACGATTGTAATTTTTTAAGTTATCGCTACTTTTCATAGATTCGAGGAGCAGGTGGTCCGAAATAACCATTGAAAATACTTGTTAACTTCGACAGTTATAACATTTAATCTCAAATGGTTAATATGACTAACAAACGGTCCCAAAAAGAAATTATCCAGAACTGTTCTATTTTAGACTTATCTGTGACAC